AGGTAAGTGTTGCTTAACTAAAACATGATTGCCACGATGCTCTCTTCCCATCTAAAAACAGCTAGTAGGTGTTTGCTTTTCCCAACAGGAAATAGCACACTCTGCGGTGAAACAGGAAGCTGTGCAGTTGTACGAAAAGCTCCATGAGCTCAAGGAACATCGAGATCGAATGATTGCTGAGGATAAGAACATGGAGTCTCCACAGGAGGAAAGAGAGAGATTACTAAAGCAGGCAAGAATAGAAAATGTTGTTATGTAAAAGATTCTCCAAGCCAGTATTATTAGGGGTGATAATACTTGAAAATACTTAGGTTTGAACTTTGCCTTTATTTGTCCTCTAGGCAGTGCAAATAATCTGACATTAAAAATAGTTGGGATATTTCGGGTCCAGCCAAAACCTGGAGACCTATTGTAGTGGGTTCAGAGGAGGGCTGTGAAGATAATCCCAGGTCTGGAGCATGTCTTCTATGAAGACAAGATAAGAGAGTTGGAACTGTTCATTCTGAGAAATTCGGAGAAGAGAAAGCTCTGAAGAGACCTGATAGCAAAGTCCAGTACCTAAAAAAGGCTTATAAAAAAGTGGGCAAGTGACTTTTACACAGGCAGAAAATTATAGGATGGGGGAAACTGTTTTAAACTAAAAGACAGAAGATTTAGACTAGATGTTATGACAAAATTCTTTACTGTGAGGATGGTGAGGTACTGGAATATGTGGATGCCCCACCCCTCGAAGCGTTCAAGGCCAGGCTGGATGGGGGCCCTGAGCAACACGATCGAGTGGATGGCATCCCTGCCCATGGCAGGGCTGGGGTGTAGGAGGAAGGGTGAGTTGGAAACAGGCGATCTTTAAAGTCTCTTCTAACCCAAACCATTCTATTATTTTAAGAAAACAAATTTGGTATGGTGAGGTTTTCAGGTGGTTCACTTGCTCCTATTCGTGAGAGATGTTGGTTGGGAAAACTGATCCAGTTGAACAGCTCTTGTAACCTAACTCCAGAGAGTGTCCTTGTGAGGTACTGAACAGGTATACTAGTCCAGGAGTAATTGGAGCAGTTTACAATGGCCTATATTGTAACTGACCATTGATACTTTATAGATTATTGGTCTGAATGACCAATGATAAGTGTATTTCATTTTTTAAAGTATGATTTTTAAACATTTGGAAGACAATGCTTAAATCTTCACTTTTTGTTGGACTGTGTCACAAATCTGTGATTTCAAATGCTAATTTTCTATTCCCTGTATTTTGAATTCAGATTTTTTTATAATTTTCCTTTTTTCAGTTGTAGATTTAATTTTGTATGTTAAAGTTGTTGAACTTTTTTATAGGTTAAAGATGATAGTCAAAAAATTGCAAGCATGGAAAGACAGTGAGTAACTCTATTATACTATTGCTATAAATTACATGTACACCCTAAAGACACACAGTTGTGTTCCTTCACAAAGTCTATTTGTATAGACTTTTAGAACATCACCATATCTTCAAACCTGTACTAGTCTAACCTTCCATAGAGAATAGAGTATGTTCTTCTGTTTCAGGTAAACAAGTTTTATAGTGATAAGACATTTAGATCTGCATAATAAGATACTTCCATCCCTTGGGAACAAACCTTGAGAATATAAATTTGTAATAGCACTAACTTAAACTTGTTTAAGGCTGAAGAAGACATTGATTTGTAAGGGATGCTCCTCTGAGACAGCTATGAAATTTAACCGTTATTACACTGCAGTCACATTTTTAAGTTTGTTTATGTGTTCTTAAAGCCTAAGAGTTACAAAAGTTCCATTCTAAAGAGTAGAAGGGCATTGCTTCTTGATTCTTAGGTACTGGGCCTTTCCAAAGACTGGCCAGAAAGTCAAGTAAATTTTATAATAAAAAGTAATGTATGGAGGGGGAGATAAAAACAGTACAATATTTTCTGGTTTTGAGCCTTTTGATTTCTCTTTCTTGAAAGAAAAACTGAGATAATTCATAAAATCTCTTATAAACAATATTAAATTCTTTTAAGCAATATTTCCAACTATAATTATTTGTTAATTTTTAATGCATTTTAATTGGATAATGAGTTGCTTAACAGAATTTTTTAATAAATAATAATAACAAAGAATTATATTTGAGATTTTATGTAGAAATATGTTAAAGGTAGTTTCATTTCACACTTTGATTAATTGCATAGCAAAGTGATTTATTTCAAAATTTCTTAATGGATTTTTCTAAATACAGTTTAAGGAATACAGTTATTGCAGTTTAACAGTTATGTTGTACTTCTTTGAAGGTACAACAGTTATGTTGTACCTCTAAGAATAGCAACCAGCAGAGGGACTAGTTGAGTAAGTTAAGAATTACTGATGACTCAACAAAAATTGTTTTTTAATAAAAAGGACCTACAGAACTTCTATTTAATAAACAGAGGACTAAGTGACAGATGATTTACATATACCTTTTATAATAACAAGAATCCTGTAATTCTTTAGGGTTTGATTAAATCTATATTTTCTATTTTTATTCTTGACTTTTCAGTTTTGTCTAAAATAAAGTAAGTCTTTTATGACACAGTTTTAACCTTGACTTTCATTATCTATTTGTTAGGTTGGCAGAAGTAAAAGAAAAAATAGATTATTTTAAAAAGGTCATTCAACGACTTGATACAGATCTGGAGAACCATCGAGGTAATATGATTAGAGTTGTAGCAGACTATGCAGAGCTGCATCTGATTGTTCTATAACTGTTATACCTAGGAGCTGCTTAAAATTTTGAGGCTTATGCAGTAAGTCAAAAACTCATCAGCATGAGGAGTTCTGTGCCTACAGGTACAGCCTTTTCTTTTCAGACATAACAAATCGGGAGTACCCACCTTTAGTGATACATTCAACAAGTTCATATTGAAAATTACCATATAAAATAATAGGACAGCTGTCTGGTTTTCTGTCCAATTTTATTTTTAATATTGTTTGGGGAATAGAAGTTTGTCTTACTGGAAGCACTGCAGAACAAACTCATATTTAGAAATGCTTTAATTAATTTTACCTTTTACATTATCTGTTACACTGTCAGCAAATGTGGAATTGAGGATATTTAATAGCAATGTGTAAAGTAGACTGAGTTCAGTATTATATTTATCTGTCTTTGAAACTTCTTGGGTTGATCTTGGCAAGAAGAGTTTGTAAACTGCCCGGTTATGGCCTTAGCTTACACTGACCTCCAGCAAACACATGCTGCTGATGCTTAGGCTAGGTTAGTTTGGAATTTGCCCTAGCACTGGAAGTTATGGTTCTGTGGTTACTTCCCCTTCTGGAGGAAGCAACTTCAGTTTGAGCATGGGCCCTTAAAAAGCTGTAAAAGGTTATAGATAAAAGGAAGATCCATGCACAGGAAAACCTTCTTTTGATTATAAGAAATCTTGTTCAGATAGGAATTAGATAAATATATGCTTGCATTCTGAAAGTCTTTACAAATTTTGTAACTTCTGTAGGATTGAGGAATTATGTTCTTCTTACTTTATGCCTTTTCTTGTGCAATCAACGTAAAATCTAGCTGTAGGTGAAAGTTTATTCCAGTTGAATAAATATCTAAAAATCTGCCTCTAAGCAAATGTTTCAGACATCTGTTTATCATCTTTTGCATGGCAAAATATTTCATATTTCTACAGATACTTCATATTTTTGGAAATAATTTATTAAGACTGCGTTATTAGCCTTGTGTTTCCAGATAATATCATTGCAAACTTTATTGTTCTTCAATTTTTCCTTTTTGTTTGGCTTGCAACCATTTTTTATTTTAACTTTGGAGAAATACAGAAGGTAAGAAGCGAGTCACTTTTCACATTTCATAGTTCAGTGCACACGCACAGTCATTTATTGCTTGACTGTCTCTTGTTTTAGAAAAATAAGTTTGTTGAAGAAGAGTTTGAAGCATATGTAGGAAAAAGCACATGTTCTTTGTCAGCATATCAGAACCAGTCAGAATATTCAGAATCAAGTTACTTAGAGTTATAATACAGAGGAAATTATACCTCTTTGTGTAACATAGAGGGACTAAAGATACTCATAAAGAGTATCTTTAGGACACAGAAATGTAAACTGCTAATGCTGCCTTCCCTAGTGAATGGAGAGAAGATCACAGAGGGCCATTCATACTTCTGCTCTAAATCAGTATCTTGGTGTGTCCTTGAAATTCCTGTGCTCTCTCTCTCCCCAGTGACTTTACTTCTGGATCAGTATTTAAACATTATTACATAGCATTCCCAGAATTCAGCTCCAGAGTTTTTAATGTAAATATCAGGTGAAATAGTCAGTAAAAAAAATAGACATTTTAACAAAGGATTATTTAATATTTTAGGATAAATATTTCAGTGTTAGAAATATTTCTGAGCTGGAAAAAGACTAAACATACAATGTTGGAATAACTATTTTTAGGTTTTGCCTGAAAAAATCTAAATAATTAAATAATTCACCCACTTATTACTTGGCCTGTATAGTAGCAGTAAACTTTAATGATTAGTCAAAATCAGCATTAACTCATAATGCAACAGACTTAACCCTTCATACATTGAAGATGAGGTTAAGACAGTTGTGTATTAGTGGTGTATTTGAAAGAAAACTTACTGAAAAGACATCTCAAAATTGTGGACTTCAAATATTTTTTTCTATAAACACTTGACAGATTATGTAACTCTGTTTCATGGCTCACCATTACTGGAACTCTTAAGAGTAGAGCAGGCTAAGTCATTAACTAATGGAGCCTTGCCTTGCAAAATGAGAGAGAGAGAGTCCAGCAAGGAGCAAAGCCTCAGCTGCAAGGAAGCTGAAGCAGAATTGAAGTCACTTACAGCCCCTCAGGTGTTCTTACTGTTTGTATATACCAGATAAAAAGGAAAGCATGGGGGTGCACAAATAAAAAGTTCTAGAGAAATTTGCTCACTTTTATCTGTACCTATTTGATTCTTTTACTTTGTATCCTTTAAAATTAAAAAATTATGTTAAAAATAAAACAGACTCAATTAAAAATATAGATGTTTGAAACTTAAAATTATTTCTAGGAAATGAATTGTCTCATCTTCTTGTGACAGATATATCAGGTGTCCCACTTTCCTAATACTTAGAAATTAGGAGTTAATTATAATCAGTAGTTGAATTTAAAAATACGGTGTCTATGAATGTTATTCCTTATTTCTAATACCAGTATATTGAAGGTGTATGGAAATGTTTCCAACTTAACTGTAGAAAGCTTTCTGTGCATTTTATTTTCCTAGACCATTGCTCGTACAGTTCTCCTGTTTATTTCCTTGAGATTATCACTTGCAAGCTGCATATCCTTATGAAAGACCATTCTTATAGGTGAAAGTGCAGTTGAAGTGGCTTATACATTAAACAGGACTGCAGAAAGTTTTAACTAATCTTGGTGCAAATACAAAGAAGCATTTGTTCTCCATTATTGAAATTCACTTAACTTCAGAAACCCCTGTGAATTTCCTTTGCCCAAACCAAGTATTTATCTCCCTCCTATCTATCAGAAGTTGTAACCTTGAAATGTTGTCAAAATTGTATTGAGGCTGATTTATTAGGCTATCTTCTTTTTTAATATAAAGATATATATAATATAGTTAGTTGAACTGACTACATTAAATGAAATAGGATGAATCCTGTAGTTCCTAGGCATGTAGAAATTTTATTTTTGAAGCAGACATTTTACCTTCATGAAGGAGTCCAGGCCTGAGACAATATAAAGTTAAATCAATGGTACATGTCTTGTAGGGGAAGAAAATTGGAAGTACAAGGAGTTGAAGAAGAGGGAAGAGAGCATGGACAGTAAGTTGTCTAATATTTTTTACCTAATATTGTGTATGTGTAGATATATATATATATATAATTAAGCCTAATTTCACTAAATTACAGGTTTTGTTTTACTGTTAAAAAAGTTAATTTATATCTGCAAAGAACTGGTGTGCTGATCTTTGCATAAAGTTCTGCAGTCTTGTTCTGCAGACAAGATAATTGATATCTTACATGACAGTCACAAATATTCAGAGCATCTTTCAAGGCTTTTTATAAACCATTAAATGTCTTAGGAACACAACTTTATTTTATGAAAGGGAAGTTGTAATTAATGGATTGAGTGATTAAAGCAGAACTTCGGCATGGAAGACTGTAGATAAAATGTAATTCTATAAAATTAGAACTTCTCGTATCTATTTACTCAAGATGAATGTTTCTAAAGCTTTGTTACATGTCAAAAAGTTTTAATGTTGTAGAGACTTCAGTAGCAACTAACAGAGGGTGAAAACAACTGACTTTAAGTATACCTTATTCCTTTCATACTGTAAGAGACAGCTTACCAAAGAAGTTGGTCTGTTACTCAGCAAAAGGGATAATGGTCAGTAAACATGCCATGGAGGTTCAAGGGATATAATACCTTTTTTTAAGTGTTCTCCAAAAATGTTCAATATAACTTATGGCTATCATGATACTGAGAAAAAGGTCTCAGCTAATAATAAAAGAAGATTAATAAAAAACACAGCAAGTTTCTGTGTTTTCAAATTGCCAGGTTTCCTGAGAAGCAGAGACAAAAGCTCACTTGATCTGGATTTTCCATATTAATGCAGATAGGGTCTGCAGGGCTTGACATTTTGGGTTTTGGTTCTGCTTCTACCCATCATTAAAGGTTATTGCTAGAGTTCTAGACCGGTTAGTGATTTGGGGGACCTGAGACCTGAGAGATTTGGGGGAACATGCCAGGAGTCTTAAGGATGGGGAAAGATAAATACGGTGCCTATGTAGAGGAAGAGGGGACAGGGAAATACAGGCCAGTCAGATTAGTATCAATTTCCAGAAATAATTTGGGAAAACTATGCAAGCTAACAATACGTAAATGTTACAGGAATGGGAATATGAATAACACTAGTATTGATTTGTCAAGTACAAACAACTTTTTTTCCTTTTCTGGTGTCAGAAAAATACTGCAGAAAAAGGAAGGTGTAGCAGATTATGTGTACTTTAACTTCAATATAACTTCTGCTGCCTTGTGGTCTTTTTAGAAGCAAGCTAGGCAAATAGTGTCTATTAATTATTAATCTATATTGTGCATTAAGTTAAAAAAATCATTAGTTTTGAAAGATTCTGTGCCAAAATTAAAGGATGTACTAAGTGGGGTTTTGCAGTGTGTCGGATTGTCAGTGTGTTCAAGTTAGTCAGTATTTTCTAATCAGTTGGATATTGGGAGAGAGTATCTGACAGAGCAGTTACAAAAAATGGTCCATCAGAAAAGCTGAAATCATGTTGGAGGACATAGTTAGAATTTAGTATGTATATGTTATGTTAGAAATCAATTACATAAAAGTTTGGAAAGGACTTAGTGTAAGTTTCTACACTTGGATGGAGTAATCAACAGTGAAAATGCAGAGCAGAGAGCGATTCATTAGGTACAGCTCTGTGGTATAGCTCGGAGAATGAAAGACAAAGTGAACATGGCTGAGCAGTATCAAACTAACAAGGAAAATACCACAACAGAAGGTGTACATTGGAGTGTAATTTTTTTTGACATCTGAAGTATTTTTTTCCCTGTGCATCAAATTCTTCAGATAGGAGTTCTGCTCATAAAGAAGGGGGCTGTCAGTCCTTAAGAAAGCTGATGGGAGTATGCAGAAAGCATGACCTGCAAGGAGATATAAAAAGAATTTGTCTTTTATTTTAGAAAATTTATGACAGTTGTCAAATATGTAAAAAGGCTGTTTCAAATAATAATGGAATAGTTTATTTCTACATATGTGTGGAAGATAGAAAAGGAGTAGCATACCACTATGTCATGGTTTGACACTGGCACAATGCCAGTGCCCCCATGAAGATACCTTCTCCCTGGTAGCTGCTGTGAGATGTGATCAGGAATAAGCAAAGCAGGCTCCTACTTAGGGAAGAAAGAAAACAAAACTTTATTAACTACACTACAACTACAAATAAAAAAGAACACACACAGGGAAAATGAAAACCTTACCAATACATTTCCTCCTCCCCCCATCAAATTTCCAACACAATACATCTATTCCTCAAATCACCAACTCTCGGTCCAGCACCACCTTTTAGACAATCAATCCTCAGTTCATCAAGAGGAGAGGAGTCCTTCTTGTACCATGGGCTTCCCCTGGAAACACAGCTGAAGCCTCGTGTGTTTCCGTGTCACTCGTGGCACCGCCCGGAGTACATCTGCTGTCGTGACCTCTTCCTTTCATGTCCAGTGCTCTCACCACTGAACACGGACCAGAGCTGCTTCTAGGGTTGTCTTTTTAAGGATGCACTGTCCAGATCCAAAAAAGGCACAATCTCTCCTTTGGGACACCTGTCCCCACAATCTCTCCTTTGGGACACCTGTCCCCACAATCTCTCCTTTGGGACACCTGTTCCCCCCATATTTTTTCACCCCCTGGGGCCGAGGGGCACCAACACTGAACCCTCTTGGTTCTGAGGCCATTGCCTCCCCCTAGAATGCAGTCTCTGTATCACAAGGAACATGGTTCTGTCCATGGCTGTACAAAAAGAGTCCAGCAAAGGCCACTCCATCATCTCTTCCCACTAGGATTCTTCTCTATTCTTCCAATACTTCTCACTCGCCCAGACCTCTCTCACACTTGCACATTCCTTCATCATCTTCCACTCTATCTTCTAGGAGAGGTCAATGTTCTGTAAAGTTCTCATTCTCTAAAAAGGGGTTAAAAGCTCCTACAAGTGGCCGGCTGAACCCCCCCTTCTTCTCCGTCCCAGCTGTGCTGCCGGCACAGGCCCATGTTTATCCAGTCTCAAGGTTACAGTCCCAGGCAGCGGCTCTTTCTCTTTCTCTCTCTCTCTCTGTCTCTCAGGGGGGGCACCCGATGGCTCCCGGTGTCTCTCTCTCTCTTTCTCTCTTCCACCCTTCCACCCCCGGGCTCAGGCCTACCTCTCCCGGCCACATGGCTTTTCCCCTCCCCCTGCCCAGCCAGCAGCTGGGCCAGGGGAGAGACCCGAACTCTTTCCCGCCGGAAGCCCAAGAGGACCCTCCCAGGGGAGAGCTCTGCTTTTAACCCCATGTTCTCAGAGGTGTGTCTAATGTCTCAATGGCCAGGTTAAATGCCAATATTAAAGTCTGAATATCCATTGGCCAAAAACACAGCATCCCAAAAAACACATTTCCTGTCAAACCACCACACACTAGGTGCAGAAAGATTTCAGGTTGGATATTAGTAAAAACTTCCTACCAATAAAGCTTACCAAGCATTGAAATAGATTATCCAGGAGAACTGTAGAGTATGTATCAGGAGCTCTGTTTGTGAAGAATATAGACAAACATCTGAATTACAGACATAGAGCTGGCTTTGTCTTGGAGCAAGTGAATTAATTTGATGAGTTCTTGCACTTTCTTGCATTCAAGAGTTTTTATGAATCTGTGAAATACACAGCATTCAAATGAAACAAGGTCAATAAGCTGACAAGTTTCAAGGTCTCTACCACCTGGCTTTTAAATAAACAATTACAGTAACCTATCTGAAACTGTACTGCTTCCAATATAATACAAAGTTTTGATTGGAAACAACATTGCAGCCATGAAAGTAAGAGCCTTCTTTTTCATATTTGTTAATCCCTAGATTTTCTAGCGACTTTTGAAGATGTGAAGAATCAGGAATTGGAACGAAAGGCCCAAACAGAAGCCAACATAGTTGCACTCCTGGAGCACTTGAGCAGGGTAAGCATGTAGCATTTTCATCCTCCTTTGGCAAGCTAAGACTCCAGACGCACAAAACAGGAGGGTGGCTGGATAAAGAAGGATGGTGGATTTTATATATTTATATTTATCTACATAATTATCTCTTAAAATGATTAAACATTAAACCATGTACAGCCATACTTAAAAAAAGGATTTGTTTAATATGTCTCTTTTTCTAGGGGAAGAGTTTTGAGCAGTGTGTGATATTGTAACCAGAACAAAGGAATATTTTCATAATTTCTATAACTCTGCATCTCTGCTATAACTAACATTAATAATGATAAACATTTCCAAATACTGCAAATAAAACTACTGCAATATTTTGTTTATCCACAGTTTGCAAAACTCAGTTCATGGGTTATTCTGTCACTAGTTTTACTGAACTAAAAATATTTCAGTTGTCCCTCTACTAAAAGTATGTCTGAACTACCCTGATGCATAATATTTAATGTAAATATTATAAATTAATAATGTAGCAGTTCAGAAACTGTTCCCATTTCTAGTCTGCCATTTTTCTCACTTTCAAGACTTGTATTCTTTTTAATGTTTTTGGCTCCCATGGATTTCTTATGTTACAGAAAACTTTCAACTGAGTAATACTTTGATTCTATGATTATTTTAATTGTCTCTTACCTCTTTCAATATAGTATACCATAAGGTGTATTTTAGGCGCTGTCACTTTACAACAGACCTATATGACAGCACAGTTTATATTTGCTGCATATTTATTTCATCTGTACTGGCCTGTCAATACATCTTTTATCAGAAGTTGGCAGAATGCAAGTCATTCACTTTTAAATCACCCAAATAACAGACAGTGTCATAGGACAGGAGAGTTTCTTACTTATCCAGTTACCAGTTGTTGTTTCAAAAATACAGCATGTTCATATCATTGTTGTTGGTAACACACAGAATCTGAATCATATGAAACAAATTTCATCTGTTACCAACCAAGAGCTGAAGATTATGCAGGAAGACCTCACTTTCAAATCAAATGAAATGCAGAAATCACAGAGCACTGCTAAGAATCTGATTACAGGTGAGATCAGCGAATTTTCTAATTAATTCCTTAAAATAATAAAGACTACCTGCATTGTTACACTGATATCATGTAGAAGATTTCCAATTATTAGATATCAAGTGATCTCCAAATATTAAAATGCAGTGATAAGTTCACAAATTGAAATGCTTCTGGGTAACAAGTTATTTATTTTCATCAATTTATTTCTATTTGTTTTATTTATTTATTTATATCTATTATCTATTAGATATTGTATACTATGTATTTATAATAGGTATGTATACTTATTTATATTTGCCTTACTATTATCACTAAAGTATCATCTTCCTTGCACAGATATATGTTTAACACGTGTATTTCAATACAGGGGTTGAATTGAGCTAGAATTTTATTTTACTAATACTTGCCTCAAAATAAGATCTTCCATGATCTTGATAGAGTGTTTAATAAACTGAAACAGAGTCTTGCACATTTATCTAACCATGAATTATTTGTAAATGTAGTTCCTAGTATAACTTACTTATGGTTTATGCTTTTCCAAATGGGTATGTTCCACAGGCAATTAACTGACAACAGTGAATAGCTCTCAAATCCCAAAGCTTCGGTTCTGCAGAGTGAATATTCATTTTGACTTTATTTTCTAAACATCCAAATACTTATTAACATCTTGAGGATGTTCTCTGTAATTTCAAAAAGCAGACAGTAGTTTAATTTCATTCCCGTAAGAAGTATCTCTTTAGTTGGTTATTTGCACTGTTTAATTCTGTGTCTTTGCCAATATCATTATTGGTTCAGCAAACCTTTCCTTGTTTGTTTGGCTGAAAGGAAGGGGCAGGAATTAAGAACGTTAAATCATTTTCTTAGAAGGCTGTTTCATGTTGTACTTCACAGTAATTTTCAAAATAGGAGCCAGTATTGTGACTTCAAAGTAGTTACGGGCAAATAAGTTATTTGGCACAAAATTTTAGAGAAATTGATTTTCTGTTGTGTGATTTAACACAAAATAACTCATTTTGCTGTTGTAGTGTAGTTTGAATTTTTGGGCCTTATATTAAAAGTTCAAATATGACTTTTTGTTCTTCCGTATAAGCGTCATTTCTGACTGTTTTCCAATATAAGGATGTTTTGGTAGCATGTAGTACTATAGAGGCATTATTGAAAGAAAAATTTCTTTCTCTGTAAGGGAAGAGGAGGAAGTTACAGTACATAATTTTCAGCAGACAAGTTATTCCTAAGTAAATGTCTGACAGCTGGGATTCACAGATAGTATAACAAACAAGATTCCTTCAGAAATACAGTGAATGCTCAATTTGCACAGTTGAGGTTCCTTCTAATCTTTGAACTATAGCACAGCCATCTTCAGAATTCTTTTGTTATGATTAAAATCTGGATTTCCATATTTTCTTGTCATAACAAAGATATAAAAAGTCCACCAGCAGAATCCTTAAAAAAATAAAAAAGAAAAGGAAATCGTGAAGGGTAAACAAAAGTGCTGATGGCATAGTTTCCCAAAAACATTTCCCTGGGTCACTGTAGTTTGTTCTGAGAATTTGCCACTGTGTACACACTGCATGCTAGATGCTGCAACTTCATGGCCTATCAGAAGGAACTGGTCTGCATCCTCTTCCTGTCTCTTCCCCTAGAGGAATTTTGAGGTTTTTTCAGTTTTGAGGTTTTTTCATTGAGTCTGCTGCTGGATAAGGATAAAATTTTCCCCTTCCAGTTTTGTTCTTTTTCTCCAGAAAGTGTGAATGGATAGGAATATCCATTGCAGTCTCATCATTGCCTGTATTAGACAGAACAGTCCAAGAAATTTTTTTGCCTTTTTGGCATTTGGGTTGGTGCTAGTCTTTACATGTGAAATAAATTCCAACTGGTCAACTATGTATAATTTTAAAATAACAAAATACAGATATTAGAACAGCTATATAAAAATGCTGTGATCAGACAGGTAATACTGTCTGATAGTTCATGAGTATTTACCTCTATAGAGGTAAATACTCATGAACATCTATAGTTGTTTTCTGTTATTTCTCTCCAATCTGAGTCTATTTTTTAATTTTATTTTTTACTGTTTCTGATCTAAAACTCTCATTTATTGATTTGTCTTTAAACCACAGTACTCTAGGAACAAGAAAGGAAAGAGGTGATCTGTTCAGTTGTGGTTTACAATCTGTCACTGACCAATGCCAGAAACTTCATTGTGAAAGACTGAGCAGTTATAAAATATTGTAGACACACTGAATGTGTTTTCCTAAGTCCTTTGCAGTGGAAGGCAGACTGTGAATTACTTACATGTGAAGCAATCAAAAATATTATAATTTAAAATACTGCTTTTAATTTGCATGGGAATTGTTCATATTTATATAAATGCTCCTTGCACATAGAGGACACTTTCAATCTTACCTTATGGATAAGCTTTCCTCAGGATAATTGCAAATGGTACAGAAATCTTGGTTTGTCCTTTTCTTTTATTTTGAGGTTCCTAAAGAAATCATGAAAGCGCTCTGTAATATGCCAGAAATGTCGATAAAAGCGAGTGTTTCACTCTAAAATATAAGTATATGGCATATAAATACACAAGCAGAGAGATGAGTAGCAAAATCTTGCTCTGAATGTTTTGATCAGGTGAGATTTTCCCATGTAAGTCCACTGGCAGAACTATACCCATAGTTTTTGAAAAGGTGAACTCTCCTTCTGTCACATGGACACACCTATTTTCTTCTGCCTTAAAGATTTATACTGCCGTGATTAAACTGGGGAGGAAATTTTCTCTCCTTTTTTCAGCAGATCAGCACAAATCTCAAGATGCAAACATATGCCAAGAAACGGTTTTTTGTGCAGTCTCATCCCTCTCAATAGCCCATGTTGCCTGATACTTTGGAATGTAGGAAGAAAACTGCATTATCTCTGTTGTTGTTCTGAGTTAGACGCAGATCTGAAACATAAGATGATATAGCCATGTGTTCAATGTTCAGGAATGTGAATGAAATACAATGACAGGTCAGATCACAAAACCATCCAAACTAAGTCTAGCCAACATCTAGTCCTTCCTGACTCTGGGTAAGTAACTTACCCCAAGACTGAGTCAAAGTACTTTTATTACTTTGTGTATATTTAGTTTTTTCTCTCCCACATGTCTGGACAGTTTCAGTCTCTACCTTCCTCTTTATGTCATAATCCACCCACAGTTCTAATTCCTTTAATTACGTAACTCTGCTATGTTTTTAATGGCATCTCAGAAGTTAATGCTATATATTGTAGCCTATGTTGATGCTGTAAGCTGTGACACTTCTTTTTTGAAGAATATATGAAGGATATATGAAAATGTTTTCCTCTACAAAGCAAATGTTTACAGCAAGTTTTGCTATTTGTTGTCCTAAAATCAAGTCTTATCCGTATTCAAGCACCACAAAGAAAAAGAACGTGATGCTAAAAAACTCATAAAAATACTTCTTTGGTTTGTCTGCGTTCTGTCTGCACTTCTATTGCATGCAATAAACTTTTTGTATGTTATCACCACTGCTTTAAGATTGTGGTGCTATAATTTATTGCATGGTGCTATAAACATTACAAATAGAAACACTGTGATACAGATCATCACATTTTCATTATTCTTCACTTACGGATTATAATATAGTAATTGTAGTGTTTAGTGTGAGTCTGACTTGTGGCATGGTTGTGAAGATCAAATTTTTTGTTTCCTTCATATTAATAACTCCCAAAAATACAAAAAATCAGAAGTATATTTAGGAGCTGTTTATATTGGTTAAATATAGCATAAATGTTTATGTAATGGGCTGTGTATTTTGAAACAAAAAGTACTGTTAATTAGAGATTGTGTTTCTGGTGATCTAGAGAGTCAAAAACTGCAGCTGGACCTACAGAAGATGGAACTGTTGGAGGGCAAGATGGTTGGTGAACTAGCTTCTCTTAAAGACAAAATTGAACAGACAAAAGCAGAGCTGGAGATCTACAATAATTTGCCAGCTCTGAAAGCATCAGGAGAAGAAAAGAAAAAGGTAATGAAAGGGATGAAACAAAGTGTGTGCTTTTGAGCAGTTAGTGGAGGGGAATCCAGTTTTGTGACTGGCAGTCCTTCTGACAGCTGAAAAACAGGATTGCACATCAGTGCAATCCAAATACTATTTTGCTTATATGTGTGACTTGTTAACTGGGCACATGTAGCAGGTATTCAGCTGGGTATCTTTTAATAACTGCTTTCCACAAAATTTCCCCTTTCTATTTTCACGATTCAGCTTAACTCTTATGCAATTTATGACTGCCCATAGCTTTGAATTTAGTAATCTAACACAGAACACAAGCAAAAGAGAATTTCCTACAAATTCTTTAATAACAGCATTCCCACTAGTGCTCATACAGTATTGTCTAAGCATACAACTTGGTCATAATCATTGATTATTATTTTTGGGATAGAGCATGCAGTGCTAGAGAAAAGCATGTGAGTTCTTTACGCATATGCATGTGATCTTGTTCTAAAAGGAAAAAAATAGCATCTTAAAAGGTAAATTGAAGTAATGTGCTTGAAGCCCACATCAAATGAACTCATCCATTAATCAGTTTCTCTTGGGTTTTTCCCTAACTAGAAACTCGAGGACGACAAAGAAAAATTAACAAAACGCAGTCATGCTTTTAAGAAAATAATGGAGCATTTGAATACAGAGTATGAGACACTAAAGAAGGAGCTGCAAGAAAATGAGACCCATTCTCAGGTATAGGTCAAGTTACATATTATTCTTTCAGTTGTTTGTTTCTTGGTTTTGGCTTTCTCATACACATGAAGCATTGTACAGGCAGAATCTGTTTGTTCCTTCTCAGTGAGTTTTCTAAGTCATGTGTTGTAAGTGTGTAACTGTATTTGCTGTTTTCAAACAAAAGGTAATATTGTGCCAACAAATGGCTTGTAAGCTTTGGATTATTAGCAGAGATCTTTCTGAGCTAAAAGTTATGTGAGTCCTTTGTTTAAGTGTTTGTGTTAATCTTGCTCAGAACTCTCTACCTTCTGCCCTTCCTTTGCTTAAGTAGTTTGAGGATGAACTTAGAAAGAAACAGCAGGGAAAAAAAAGGTCACTGCTAATTAGCTAAGATCTCTTTTGCTTTTAAAGTAGTTGTGATTTTTTTTTCCTTTAAATCTGTACTATTAATTCCATTTTCCTTTTTCCAGTTCTGCTCCTTGCAGGCCACTGAAGTTTTAGAGTCTGTTCACATTTAAACAACTTTGGTATATATGTATATTTGTATTTCAAAAGTGAATCGGGAAAGATGCTTATAACTTCTTGATCAGCTTCTATTCTTTCATTATAAACACACATAAATTGCTGTCATTTTGGCAGCAGAACTTTACTGGTAAATATGTTTGAATGCACAGAAGAAAAATAGATAACCTTAAAATAAGGTGGAAAGGGAAACTGATTTTTAATGCATTTCACTGTGTTTTATTGATTTATGTTGTTGAGATATTTGTCCTTTAGAACTGTTATTTTTTCTAGTACAGTCAAAAGCTGAAGGTCATATTGTACATGTTTAAGTTGACTTTCTTTTGAAATTAATGTTGTGGAGCAGATGAGAAGACATAGCTCTGACTGAGGCATAGGTGTCCATTTGTAGCATAGGATTATGATAATCATTCTAGGCTGGTGATACAAATCCTCAAACCTACACGCCAAAATGTGAAAGACTTCAGATACTGTGAATCTTTTTTGCCAAGATCAGATTCTGGGGTTTAGGTAAATTAGAAATGCATACTCAGTGTTAAGACACTTGCATAATGAATCTAAGTATTTTATATAAAATAGTAGTTGTATGTAATTTCTTCAGTTCATTAAATGTGGCAGTTCTATTTTTATGTGGGTGAAAAGGATTTGTTTCTTTACTTTTTATGCCCTGAGTGTAAAAAAAATGAGGGTGAATTAAGGTATGTCTTATAATAACTGATTATTTGACATTCGTCAAGCATTTTGAGGTACAGATAGTGTTCATAAATGTGGAGGACTTGGGCAATTTTGCAAGAGGTCAGCTGGTCGTCAAACAGTTACTGTAAAAATACACTGAATCTTTCCTTTTCTCTGTGCAAGATAACATGTATTTCAGTTCCAGGCTCCTTTGCTGGCTGTGTTATGTGCAGCAATGTCTACCAAAAGGACAATAATAATTCTAATTAGCCAGAAATACCTAGTCTTGGAAACAAATGATTGCCTTGTTTGCTGCAAGCTAGTACACTAGATAAACTGATTCTTACTGTTAAGGTTTGAATTATATGGAAACTATTTTCATCTCTTCCAGCTTAAGGAAAGCTTTAAACTAAAATACTGCAATATTTTCCTTATTTATCCTTAGTTTCCACTTAAAGTTTAGTCTCAGAATGGTTTTTAGTTTTACTTTTAAAAATAACATCTTCATATCTTGAAATGCAGAACCTTGAACAGTAGCATCAGAAAAACAAATATAAAATTGTATTGTAAGGAAGCAGCCATCAATATAATGTCCACATTAGTTTCCTGTTGATGCTGAAAGTATTGAAGAAGTGCCAGCGCTGAACCCACACTCCTACAATCTTCTCGCTGCAGCTCTGTTCTTATCACAACTTCTGGCATCAGACAGGAAACTTAACTATGGAAGTAAGGAAGTTTCTTCTGTGTAGTGCAAAGTCCAAGACAGTGTCAGGAAATATTGTATCTCTGATGATTTTAGATTTTACTGATTCTAAGAAGAGATCCATCTAAATGATATGTGGAGCATAATTAGAATTAGTATCTCCCTGAATTGTTCACCTTTTTACTTCTGACTTGCCTGTTAACTTTCTTATATGACAAATCTTGAATTCTCATCTGATTTTTTCATCTGTTGCTGCAGTTGCATAGTGTTTTTATACAGATGGATTATAAAGTGCTAAATTATATATGCAGGGTAATCAGCAGCAGCTTTAAAAGCATTTAGCCATTGCTTCTCATTTTTGAGAAATGAGAGGTTTTTATGTGAAATAACTTTAATCTTATCAGTTGATAGAGTACAAGGTACTGATACAAAATTATTTATGTAAATATATGTGTAATTATTACCATTTTAATTTTTGGCTCTTTTTGTGGTTTTGTGTTTTCAGCTTACAAATTTGGAGAGGAAGTGGCAGCACCATGAGCAAAATAACTTTATGATGAAGGAATGTATCCTTTTCTTTAAGAAGTAAGAGTCAAATTCACACACTGTATTAATTGAGGAAGAAGTCTGTTTCCTCCAGCAGAACAAGACAGGACGGAATGGGCTGCAAAAGACAGGGGAGAATGGGAAAGGCAATCCTTTGCAAATATCTGCTTAGCTGATAGATATTATATACAGCAAAACTTGCATGTGTTGTCTGAAAGAGTTTTACGGAGTCCTAAAACATAAGTTTTGCCTTGCGGTCTGGAATTTTTCCTTCTTTCTTAGGTTTTCTGCAAGATTACATATAAAGTTTATCTTCCCATCTCTCCAGTCTTATCTGATATTAATCTGCCAGCGTAACATTGTTTAAAAACATGCTGGGGTAGAGGAACTATCTTGTAGCTCTCTATGGAATTCAGATTAACAAGTTGCATTCCAGTAATCATGTCAGCAAAATCATTACTTGCTGATTTGCAAATGGCTTTCATAAGATAGTTTTTGAAATTAGGAAAAACACTGAAATTTGTTTTAATTAAAATTGATGGTTCTTCTCATCTGGTACTATTTTTCTATTTTTCTCCTTATTTATTATAGAGATCTGAATAGGACCAGGCTGTGCTTTTATTTTATATTCTAGGGACAGTGAATTCACTGCAATAAAATTACTTCTTTAAAATTATTTAAGAAACAAATTGTTATTTAAAAAATCTGAAATCTCTAAGATGCACAAAATCACTGTTAAATGATTACAGTACAAATGTAATTGGTAAAGGTAACGTCAAAACTAGACCCCACCATCTAGTGTAGTGTGTTGAGCAATTAAAATGGCATGGGGATATATTTCAGGCAATTCTGTGTTAGGCTAGCCGTCACAGAAATAATACTGATGATGATGATAATTATTTAGTAATTAATGCATATACATATAGCTATGCATGTATACATATGATGTATACATATGATGTTGTGTACATATGTATATGTACACAATGTATACATATGATGTTGTTTTCTGCAAATACCAAATATGCCATTTCTCAAATCTGCTACATGCTCTAATTCCAAGAAAAATACCTGAAAAAAGTCTTGGATAGTGTAATATAGTTGGAGCCACCTCCTCTTTGAAGGAGGCTCTACAGGAATATTTTATTAAGGCAATACTCTTAAACACAGTTTTTCTCAACAGAAAAGATTTTAAAACAAACCAAGAAAAAAAGTTGATCAGGACATTAAAGTATCTCCTAACTTAGTATAAAACATTGCCTATCCAACTGCAGACCTTTATACAGAGTACTTACATCTTCTTGGGCTACTGGAGCGGGGCTGCTTTCTTGGACTGGGACTTCTGTGATTTGGTTTGCAATGTAACAATAAGCAGAGTCCTTCATGAGGAACTTATTGCCTACACATATATATATATGTGAACAAAAGTGCCTTAGGTATGTAATCACTCCTTTTTTCTAAAGTGCTTGTCGTGAGATGGCAGCTAGTGAATAAGTGTAGATCTTTTAGCCCTGGTCAGAGTTTTTTCCACTATTTTCATCCCTTGACAGTTTTCACAGAAGGAAATGTATGGTCTTCTGGTTCCTTTGTGATCTGTGATTATGCTCATATTTATACTGGCAGTTTGTTTCCTTAATTCTTTTAATCAGTCATAGCAACAAAAAGTCAGGAGAGTGACTACCAGCCAATAATGAAGAATTCGAGAAAGCTGGTCAAAGAATACAACAAAGCTCTCATAGAAGCTTTACAGAACACCAAGAACTGAACCCAGGCATTTCCTTCCTGCCTGAATGGACCAACAATGAGAGATGTGCAAAGGCTGTGTGGAAAGCTGGACTACTGAGATAATTTATTCACCACCAGGGTGGAAGATAGAATTATTTTTCCAGGTTTTTAGAAGTTACAGGTTTTAATACTATCTCTCCTTTTGCACTGTTTAAAATTTTTGGAAATAAACATCTGAATTTTAGAAACAAAAAGGAAATACTGCCCAATGAGTTACTGAGGCCCATTGCTGAATTGCATCTCAAATGTGAAATTTTAGTCTGCTTTACACCCTGAATTTCTAATTGCCTTGTAGTCCTACCCCTGTCAAACAGAACAGGACTGCTTGACACGCTGTCATATGCATTATCTTAAATTAAGTGCATAATAAGATAAATGGTAACATCAATATACCATACCTATATATAGCAATTTATACCAAGTAAGGAAAGCATCTAAGGATGACAAGCATCTTTTAAAGTCAAAATTGCTTCATAGTGTAAAATCTTACAATAAAAGCAAATGCCAGCAAATTTTCATTTCCTAATGGAGACTTAACTTTGTTATTTTTTAAAATGTAATTATAAAGAGCAAACTCTGATAAAAAGTAGTGAAACATAGCTAACACTGATTTTGTGTGAAGCATTTTACTGCTGTAGTATTCACCAGTAAAGGAAATAGCAGAGAAACTTATTTGTATTTTCTGCAATGTGTTTTTCCCTCCAGTTTCAAGCGGAGGGAAACCTACAAGGAAGGGATTCAACACAAAAATCTACAAGGAAGGGATTCAACATAGAATAAAAACAGGGCTTATATATAGAAAATAACAATGTGCTTTATGATACCGAAATTTCAGAAAACATTTAGATAAAAAAAAATTTCCATTTATATATTTGTCTCACATTCTACCTGTACTGTATTTTATAAACTGCTTATTGATCATTTCTTTCACCTATATTGTAAGCCTTTCACCTATATTGATCATTTCTTTCACCTATATTGTAAGCTAGTCCCGATCAAATAGAAATAGCACAGTTGACTATAGATAGAAATCTTACCTGGACAGTAAGCTAGTCTTATAGAAAGAAACTACAAAAAAGCAGTGGGATCTGGATTTATAGTTGTTCTGCTCTCTTAGAAAATTTTTCCAGAAAAGAGGTGGACTATTCGCCTCACTTCATGAAACTGGAGTAGAGAAATTATTAGGAAATGTTCTGAGCCCATTAAAATAGTCTGTATTTTGTCACTAAATTTCCTCAAATCTATGATTGTCTTTTTGAGTATAAAAAGATCTGTAAGCTAAAAATATTGAAGATTTGTACAGAAAGCACTGTGTTTGCTAATTCAGCACACTGAATAGTGTTGCTGTATATGTTTAGAATATTTAGAGATAATGGAACGGGATTTCTATAAACTAAGGACTGTTATCTAGGGGAAATTCCCACTAAAGTCTCTTCCTTCCTGTCAGAATTTCAGCTATTCCAGAGAAAGGTCATTATTTGCAGAGATAAAGTTGAAGTCTAATATTCTCACCAATCGAACCATCAGCCAGAGAGATCACCTCCTGAATTCCACTTGTGCTAAAATAACATAATGCAATGAACAATGGAAAAAAGCTGCAGACTGAATAAATAGATTGCTTTGACTTTGCTTTCTCTCAGGGCAAGGGAAGGTTTTATTCCTTGGTAGGGATTCTGTAAGGTAGCATGGTAAAGCTTACAGGTTTTTGCTGTGTTCCCAGGAGATGCCTGTCATGAAATCCCTTTCTCCAGCATGCAGTTCTGTTCCTTGTTCTACTGAAGGATCTTCAGATAACCTGTTTCTTTGTAAGAATCTCATCACTCAGTCTTTCTCTTAACAATCCACTCATATGCTTCTTGATAGCAGTCATGGCTGAAAAGAACTGTATAGATTCAGAGTTGTAAGCTGTGTGGCAAGTGTTTCATCTCCCTCTGGAACATTATTAACTCACTCCTAGTAGTGAGCTCTGTAAGTTGTACCCTTGCGTAGTTTCTCGAGTGAAAATCACTTGTTCTTTAACTCTTTCTATATATTTTTTTTTTTTTTCATTTCTTTTTAATACAGTTTGAGTACCAGACAATGTTTTTTCACTGAAGCTCCTGTGTGTACGTCAGGACATGAATTCAGTAATGCACGTCTCTCTCTCTACCCAGACAATCTTTTATTCATTTTATGCTATGACTTCAGACTGAGAGGACATGAATTAACTGTCAACATCTGCAGAGTGGAGATACTTAAAATCTCTTCTGCTCACCTTTCTCAGCAGGGCTGAGTAAGTATCACCTCCTTCAGTCTGCCTGGCAGTGCTCTTCCTAACTTGCCCCAGAATACTGCTGGCCTGTTTTGCTGTGCATTGTTGGCTATCGGTCAGTTTGGTGTACACCAGGAAGGGCCCCAAGGTGCTTCTCAGTAAAGCAGGTTTCCAGCCACTCAGCCCTCAGTGTGCATGGGTGCCTGGATTGTTCCTCCGCAGGGGCAGGACTGTGCATGCATCTGTGTGAAATTCCAGTGTGTGGAACTTCATTACATTCTTGGCTGCCCACTTCACCTGTTTAGATCCCCCTGACCAGCACTACACCCATATGGTGTATCAGCCACTCCTCCCAGCTTTGTGTCATCTGCAAGCTTCCTGAGGGTGATCTCTGACCCATCATCCAGGTCATTGGTGAAAAGGTTAAACTATATTGCCCTCATATCCATGGTTGTTGTATTCCTCTACTGGCTGGCCTCCAACTGGACTTCAGGCCACTGACCACACAGGGAGCCCCAAGCCTGCTTATGTAACCATACTTTATCAGTTTATCTGTGAGGATTTAATGGAAAACTCTGGCAAACACCTTGCTTATGCTGAGGTAAACAACATCCACACCTCTCTCCTTGTATATTATTAGTTGCCTCATTGTGGATGGCTATCAGGTTGGTTAAGCATAATTTCTGCTTCATAAGTCTGTGCTTCTTGCTCACAATCAATTTCTCATCCTTCATGTGTCTGGAGATCATATCCCCCCTTAGTTGCTTCACAACTTTCTCAGGGATTGAGGTGAGGCTGACCAGTCTGTCATTGGACAAATCACTCTTCTTGCTCTCCTGAAGTGACACATTCTAGCTTTCAGTACTCAGAAGGCTCTTCCTCACCACCATAAAATAAAAAAAGTACTCAGGAATGACCTTGCAATGCCTTAAGTCAGCTATCTTTCTACACATGTGGGTGCATCTCAACAAGTTCCATGTAATTACATGTAGGCAGTTTGTTAAAAGTTCCCTTACCTAGTCCCCCTTCAGTAGGATGCTACTGGGGCATAAGGATACCAGGTTTGACAATTACTGTCACTTCCACATCTCACTTCAATGGCACACTGTATGAAAAGAAGCATTTCAATTCAAAGCCTTCAATCAAAGCATCTGTTTCTGCCATGTTATTTGTGCTTGAGAACGAGCACAGGAATTACTGCTTTTGTTCCCAGCTCATGATGGCATGACAGTACTCCAGCCTTGTTCCCATATATACAGGGATATCATATCTCCAAGCAATCTGTATTTTTGCTGCAAGAAAAGCTAATCCTCTTGTTGGTCTTTCTGTTTCATCTTGCCTTCATTACTTTTCATGGTGATTTTAAAAACCTTGTTTTTCTTGCAAAAATAAGGGGTTTTTTTAAATGCAATATTCCTGTGAGCAATTCCAGACAGGCAGAACACTGCAAATTCTTTCTGCCTGACAACTTTAGTTAATGGCTCTTAGTGCTAGTATGTGCTGTTTCACAATTGTAAGGATATGTTTCCAAGGTGAAGTGTTTGTAAATTCTTTCTGTACACTTCTATTTCCCTGCTGCAAGCATAAAACAAAAATACAAGGCATAATGCAGGCCTAATGAAGAGGTGCAAGCCATTAGAATGTCTTAGTTTGAGGAGAAAGAGATTAGATTTCCTTTGTAACTGTTCTTAAAATATCTGCTTTGAGTGAGCTCCTTGGAAGTGTCTCTCATGGTGATAATGGGTGTGGTGGGTGTAGCAATTAGAGTGAAAACCCTTCAGATTCTGAAAGTGGTCCTAACATTGGAGCTTGCTTGAACATCTGCATGGTGTGAATAGCAGCTGAGCACCAAATGGTACATGTCTTGTATGTGCAGAGCAAGGCTCTGAAATGCAGGTCAAGCATTCAGGAGGGAGCTGGATTCCTCCCAAACAAAATAGTTGTCATCTTTGTCTTTTTGATTAAAGAGGAAGGAAGCCCTTAAGCAATCACTACTACAGAGATTATTTGAATTCAAATCCCAGCTTTGATCAATCATTTTTTGTGATTGACAAAATCTTGGAGCAGAGGAAAAAACGTTTTTACCCTGACTTGTGCTCAACACTTAGAGTTCCTCTTTTAAGGAAGGAGGACTAACTGGACAATATGCCAAATGTGTGAAATGAGAGGAAATGCTCCACATTAAAAAAAAAAAAAAAGGGAGAGAGAAAAAGAGCCAGAAATGTAAAATTATCCACTCTTGTTTCCTCTTGTAGACCTAATTCCTTGAAAGCTGCGTTCATTTAAAGTGACTGAACTTGATTCACTGAACACTGGTATCTCTGTATCAAGCCCCCAGATTTCTGCTGTGCAGCAAAGGATGACTAAGGTGCAAG